CAAGAGCTGAACAGAAAATTTCAAAGATCAGCTTGAGAAGATTAAAGCCAAATATTACAACAAAATGTGCAAAGATCTGGAGTCAGAAAACCAAAGAGAACATGCTCAGCATTTCTCAAGCTGGGGGAAACTGAAGAAAAAATTCAAGTCTCCACTTTAGTTACTGCAGGAGTCTCTGGTTAAATTATTGAACGATGCAGAAAGCATCAAAAGAAGATGGAAGGAATACACAGAGTCACTGTACCAAAAGGAAATGGTTGATGTTCAACTGTTTCAAGAGGTAACATATGCTGAAGAGCCAATGATAATGAAGGAAGAAGTCAAAGGTACATTGAAGGAATTGACAAAGAACAAGGCACCAGGAATTGATGGAATAAAAATTGAAATCATTCAAGAAAGTGAGGCAGCACAGGAGATACTCACTAATTCTGTGCCAATAAATTTGGAAGACAACTATCTGGCCAACTGATTGGAAGAGATCCATATATGTGCCCATTACAAAGAGAAGTGACCCAACGGAATACGGAAATCATCAGACAATATATTTGATATCCCATGCGAGTAAAGTTTTACTAAAAGTAATATAGAAACGGCTTCAGGCATACATTGACAGAGAACTTCCAGAGGTTCAAGCCGGATTCAGAAGAGGCTGTGGAACGAGGGATAGATATCATTGCTGATGTCCAATGGATCTTGGCTGAAGGCAGAGAATATCAGAAAGATGTTTACCTGTGCTTTATTAACTACACAAAGGCTTTGTATTGTGTGGATTATGACAAGCTCTGGACCACATTGCAAAGTATGAGTATTCCGGAACACTTAATTGTGCTCATGAGGAATCTATACCTGGGCCAGGAGGCAGTTGTTCGAACAGAACATGGGAACACTGAATGGTTTAAAAAGAAGAAAGGTGTCCAACAGGGTTGTATTCTTTCACCATGCTTACTCAACCTGTATGCTGAGTAGATAATCCAAGAAGCTGGGTTATTTGAAGAAAAACATGTCATCAGGATTGGGGGAAGACTCATTAACAACCTGCGATATGCAGATGATACA